AACGGACGTGTGCCCAATCTCCGCCCCCTGCCGACGACGGTGCGCCGGGCGAGCATCCAAACAGCCGTGAACCAACCCCGGATTCAGCTACTAGTCAACGATTCCTCGCGCTCCAACTACTGGCGTTTGCAGTCCTTTCGGATCAGCTCTCGCACCCAGACGATCGATGAGGTTGAGCGTGCGCCTGCAGAGCTTCGCACCAACACACGTAAGGAGGGAGCACTGTGTCAGGATGTCTTCATTTTCGCAAAACCAGTCCATGTTGCGAAGCTTCATTTGGCTTTAAGCGCCATGCGGAACTTCAATTATGAGCCTTGTCCAGCTTGTGGTGTTTTGTGGGGCGAATGGGGCCGGCTCCGAAACAAATCCCATGTGTGACGATTTTCCAACAATCGCTCTACAAGAAACCAAAGGAGAGCGGCAGACAGGACCCTGATGGATTTGCACTCCAACTGGAAGACATAGAACTACACTGCATGAAACTGGGGCAACGCGAAGAAAACGAAAAACGCCAGTGTGGAAAAAACAAGAGCTTGCGCTTGCGCCGACCGAAACTGGGCCATCACTGGGATTCAAGAACACTGCCCGAGCTTCAGAGCAAGACCGGCATTCACTAATGTTTGTTTGTCCCCAATCCGGGTTCCCCTCTCTTCCAGAACTGCTCAAGAACAAGTCTGCCCAAACTACTGTTGGGAAAACGAGAGTTGCGGGTGAAGCCACAGGCCCACCTTGCTCCAGAAGTTCACGAAGCGCCTCAAGTCTCGTTGGAGGCAATGCTCGGCTCCATGCTTGCAGCACCGAACGCCGGATGTTGATGCTGCCTTCGGCCCATTGCATGATTACCTGCTGGAGGCTCTCTGCGAGCGTGGCCAATGCTTTTGATACGATGTCCAAATCTCTAATCCCTTCCAGGCTCCACTCCGATTTTACGTGTCTCAACTGTGCAACGAGGCTCGCGGTGCCGCTGCGCTGTGTGAGATATGCAATCACCATCTCGTAAGACTCATCGAACAATTTCCTGAAGCTTTCGAAATCAGATTGCGTGGCCGTGTGAAAGTAGCTTCGAGCACCGAAGTCATGCCAGGTTATCTTCCTTGCACCCGTTTGGCTTATCACCACCAGAAGATTCCCGAGGTGGTTGTCGTGCAAGAAGCTAAGGGAAGCCATCTTCTCGAGGTCCATGGTGTAGCCAGTCAGAAGGATCAGCAACTCCAAGATGCTCATTTCCGGGATCACCTGGAGAATGGGCATTGCTCGAGACATGACCTCCACTTCCAGCTCAAAGGGAGGCTGCAATTGTTCGTGAGCGTGGCACTGTCCTGCAGGATCGCCCGGTTGGCGGACGCATAAGGGAAGGAACTGCACCAATGCCGTGTCGTTGAAGCAATACGTGCATGTTGCAGCAGGTCCCGCTATGTCGAACACCCCTGCCATCGACCACCTGACTTTTTCACGCCAAAGCAGTTCGGCATGGCCCTCCCCCTTCCGATGGATCGGTCTGATTGGTCGTGAACTCAGCGCCGAGAACAGTCCTGACAAGAATGCAACTTCCACAAACCTGTCTTCAGCAGGCAACCGAGTGAGGTGTTCCTCGGGCAACTGCAAGACATTGCGATCCAGATGTGGCCGCAGCACTTCGAATGCGTTGACATACTTCTCGGAGCGGGCGTCACCCACGAGTCGGACCCTGACGGCAACTCGGCCAATGCCTGGGCAATTTGCGAATGTGATCGCGTTTCCGGCACCAGCAGCCCCGCTGCCGAAGTCCAAGAGACAGTCGAAATATGGCTGGAGGCTTTGGCAGGTGCCTTCGTCGCACTGTCCAGCGGCAGGCACGACAAGCAGCAGACTGACAAGCGCAATGCGGTTCCAAACCATGGCGCGAAATTTGCTCTCAGCCAAAACTCTGAACGGTTTAAATGGTTTAGGGTATTGGGGTACCAAGGGTTTAGAGCATCCTGGGACCTACCTAACCCACCCGTCACGGCACAATTTACCATGGCCACCGGAGCCTTTCACTTCTAGCAACGTGATGAGACAACGAACGTCCTTTGGCCCGTTATGAACTCCCAAGAAAATCTGCCGAGCGAGCGGGCCAGAGCAACAACAGAGTCGCAGACACGGAAGGCCTTCCAGTCTAGTCCAGTCTAGCGACTTGTGGATATCTTGTGCTGAGCCGACTGAGCAGCCCTTTGACTCAAAAATGGGCTAAGTGTGCCAAATGACCACGTACACTTCGAACCCCATGAAACAAAACGCCACAATTTGCGGAAACTGACAGCGTGCGCATTTGAGCTTTGATTTCGAATGCATGGGAAACAACTGCCAGTAGTTAAAATGCTTTTCTTCAAGGGGAGGTTTAGAGGCAAGGTGCCTGGACCCGCAGGTTGAGCCGAGCTGTACAACGCTGCACAAGCCACGGCGTGGTCCGCCAAGTAAGCTTCAGCACATTTTCAGAAAAGGCCCAAAAATTCGAGCTTCAGAGCCCCCAGAACCCCAATC